CGACGTTGCGAACCCCACAATAAAACCACTAGAGGAAACATACGACATCTACATCTGCACTGCCGGGATTGCGGGTGTGCGGCACAACTACGCAGTTGCAGCGTGCTAGACCGAAACAACAACCAACTAACAAGGGAAATAATTGCAGCGAAGTATGTTGCCAGGTTTGACGATGGACGCGTGAGCTTCCCGCCTCTCACCTTATCTGCAAAATAATTAGCTTGCCTCACCTTCAGAATAAAATTACGGACTATTTTACATATTTGTTTTAAAAATCGAATAAGAAACCGAGGACAAAACATTTAGAGCTCTTGTTCTAAGAATACGTAAGATAAAACGAAGACAAAATACAAAACGTTGAGAGTTCAGCGCTGCACGTGTGTGTATGTTTTTGTGTCTGTAATCAATAGAGTGCCTGTTCGCGAGATGTTTATGCGATCTGAAGTCATAAGATGAAAAACCAACTACCCCAAGCTGCTGTGTTGACAACTAGTAACATTGTAGCTTGCTGTGTGAACATCAAAAACAAGAAAGAGGCTTGGCTCTTTTTACTTGTTCCTTCCGGTTTGTTCCAACACTTCAAGCAACTCGTCGCTGTTGAAATTGAGGTTGCCCTGAACAATTCTCTTTTAAGCATAACAGAGAGGATGATTGAGTTCATGCTAAGCAATAATCTGGTTAGAAAAGGTGCGAATAGTGCTGCGAGAGCCTCCGAAAGTCATCAAGCAAATAGCGTGTGGCTAATTGTACTGCTTGTGACATACTTTGATAAAAAAAGAAAAAAAAAACTTTCTTCTACTTCCGCAGAATGAGGTACAACTGTCTTAAGTTAACGTATGGGATAACCAATGCTCATTGCACTCCAAACTTTTATGAAAAGACCAGTGAGTAACTGACAGGAATCAGGATTAACTACCCATGATTACCCTGCATTGTACCGCGTAGGTCAAAGGGATCGATGGCCGTTTGAATGAACGGCAAAAATCGGGTTCGTACCGTACTGTGCTAAAATATACTACAGAGTTGCCTAAAATTGGTGGAAGCGTTTACTAAAATTGTGAAAGGATTAGCTCACCTACGTAAATCAAGAAAAACCAAAATTATGTTTTCTCTAAACATTTCATGTACGCTCAAAAGTATTGTGTTACTGTGACGCTTATATTGCGCAAATAAAGTGAAGAATGAGTAAGCTAATTCTATTTGCACTCCAGTTCACAAATTGTTCAATCTTAGCAGGCTCTAGAATATCCCGGAACGATCGTCTGATGATTTTGAGACAAAAGGCTTAGCGATAATTTTTTCATAGACAAAAACAAGTTCTGATTCTCTTTCTTTTGACTCAGGCAGTTTTATGTGTTCCTACTCTCCATTAATGAATGCACCAGCGTCGAGCATCTCTTTAGTAAATTGCAGCTCGGCAAGTTAAGAAACCGGTTTATGCGGTCCTTTCAAACCGCCATCGATCCACTAGACCCACGCGGTAGTTCATGATGAGTATCGGTTACTTTCCACAACCTCAAGCTGTCATTGATTCCTTCAGTTCTATATTGCTTTAATAGCTTTGCAGTGTACAACATAATATTGGAAAGTAAACATATACGGCAGAAATCTGCCTGGTTGGGTCAGAGTTGAAGTCGAAACCAAGTTGGTTTCGAAACGTCGGGTATCCTCTCAAATATTGGTGGGAGCAACATTTTCGAACTTTTACAGGATGTTATACCTTCATTTGCGTCCTATTGTGGTTCTTTATTTTGTAGCGGGAACCGTCTACACAGCCAAGAGTACTCGATCTACATTTATGGAATAACTGTGATGGACGAAATTTACATGTACGACCAAGCACTGGCTGTACAATTGAGCGCGTACTATCTTTTCAACATTGCATACCCAAAGAACCTTTGCACTACCTTCGAGTTTATTTAAAGGAATTCAACTCATTTGTGCTTTCTGGCATCATTTGGTTTGCATATTTGTCCCTTTGTATACTGCATCCGACGGCCATAAATGTCAGCAAAGCAGGGCTGCCTATACGGGAAGTCAGAATATCTCTTGCGGACGCGTCGCTTGCCGAAATAATCATATAATACTAAAAATTCGTTGCTCTCTGCGTCACTGCAATGTTTTACGATGAGAGATATATTATGTAACCTTTACGCCTCGCTTACGTTTCGCAAAAATTTGTTTATCAGGCCCAAAGGGTGGTCAATGGAAATCATATCGAGGGGAGATATTACTGGGAGATTCAAACTGACGAATGACACCCCATCTTCGACTCAAAATCTTATGCACGTCATCAAAACATGGTACTGCTTTAATAACTTTTTGGTGCTTTTTTATAATAGTCAGTCCAAAACAAAAGGTGGAAAACGACCTAGAGTTCTGAAAGTCGAACACACGGAACTCGACACATGGTAGGCAGCATTGGGTCTACGGCACTTCCCGAAATCTTATTCGCCACGGTAAGTCTGTATCTTGCATGGTGTCGGTATTTCGCAGTATTTCTTGTTGCACCAAATCTTTCTTTTCCCACAAGGCACAGCGGCATTCTCAGAAGCTTCGATTTGACGGGCCCCTTCCTCCATAGTTTTCATGGCGGCGATGAAAACTGATTTTTCCGAAAAAAGTTCTCCGAGTGCTCCTCAGTGCTTGCTGCCAGATGGTCGCACAACAAACCGCCAAACGGATGGAGGGAATAATCCAAATGTAGCCAAAGCCACTCGAAATTGATGTTATCTCAAAAAAAATATCATAATTGGCCTTTAAATTTTTAGCTCTATACGGTGCCTAAAATTTCCCTCAAACTAGCAAGATTTCCCTTTCTCCCATGTGGACCTGAATATTACCTTAATCTGGGAAATATCTCTCGTGTTGGCAGCCCTGCAGCAATGACTCCAGATGTGAGCTCTTTGTTTTAGAATGTGCATTGCTTGCTTGAAAACTTACGCAGCGAGAGTTCCTGGCAATGCTAGTGGCATGCTAAGGTGAGATGGTGTAGAGTACAAAACAAGCCTGATTCTTTTATTTCGTGTTCCCTGTCCTTTGCTTACTTAAAGGAGCTGTGCCACAATTTCAGTGTTTTGCTTAAATACTTTGGGAGTTGGTGTCTCGACCTTTCCGAAGTAAACAACAAAAAACGGCTTTGCCTGTATGTCTTAGTTTTTATTTTAAAAATTGACGAAGTTTGAAGTTTTCGGCACCCTCTCAACTCCCTTAACTTCTTCCGAGTCACGTGCGCTGCGACGTGAATGGGGACGCGCGAGGCTCCGGTGAAGCTCTCTCTCTATACCTCGTTTCAGCTTCCGTCCGAGCGCAGCCAAAGGCTAAGGCGGTTCGCAACTTTGAGAGGGGCATTCCTGCGCACCACAAAGTAGTTCGCTAAAGATTTTTTTCAATAACTGTTTTCTGCGTAAACATTCGGCAATATTTCAGATGTGTACTGCTGAGAATGATTTGCAACTGAAGCAATGAAATATCTTAAGTTCATGGTTTTAATAAAATATGTAAATGCATGTGGTTTGGTCAAAACACGTACACCTGTTGGGAACACGGCTGCAGCGCTCGGTTTTTCTGTGTGATTTTTTTACCGTAAAGGCCGAATCATGTGCTTCGCTGCTTTCCTTACCGAGTCCTTTCAAAACGTCCTTTCGCAAAGGCACGTTTGGGTGTCAGGCGCAAGAGGCCGTGATGAATGTCTATTTTCAGATTAGGCAGGAGACTCTGCCGCGTCGTACCACGAAGTTGTTAACCTATACAGTGTTGTAGGTGTTACCGAAAGAAAGTAAGAAAATACGTTACCAGTCACTTGAGCGTGAAATAACGCGTTACCGTTTCCATTATTGATAAAAAGATACGCATGTTACTTTTGCGTAACTTTTTTTCATTATGAATTAACAATGTTCACTGTTTTGACGTTACGGGTATGCATACGCGCCATATTTTAAGAAATATTATGTCCATGCAGACACTGAACATAGTGATTTTATCTTTCTTACGGTTTCACATAAATACTTACAAAAAACGCCAAGAAAAACGCAAAAACTCAAAAACTTCACATGGTTTGGCACTTAAAAACACACACACAAAATTGTCTAACATTTCTTTAAGTCTTGGGAAGAAGTAACTTAACTCCGTTACCCGTTACTCGAAATATGTAACGTGAATGCGTTAGCCGTTTCTGTTCTGAAAAGTATGAACACGTTACCGAAAAAAAAATGTAACTGTGCTACAGTGCCGTAAAAATGACGTTGCACTGCAAATCTGGTTTACGGTCAATTTTATCACCTAGTCACTGTAGATTTCTACGGTCACCGGTCATATTTAGTGTAAACGAGATTAAAAATACACTATTATTTTTACGACGCAATAGTGGCAGCATCAGCTGCTGGTTTTTGACCGTGAACTTTACGGTCCATTTTTTACAGTCATAGTGCATGGCATTTCGAACAAGATTTGCTTTACTGGACGGACAAAAATGCAGCTGTCTGTTATTTGTTTGAGAGCTTGCACCGCGCCTGAAATGACGCCTACCTTCGGGCAAATCTGAAGAATAGCCCACTGGAGGTCAAGCTCATTGCCGGACCCGTCGTCCCGCTTGTCAAAATGCTCTTGGTCGTCATCTCCACTGGGCATTACAAAGATTAGCGCACCTACATAGACAGCCAATACCGGGCACCGGGAACTTTCGGTATGGTGCATGCCAGGGAATACCCGCTGACTCCGTTTTGACCGTGAAAGTCATAAATTTCTTCGGCACTAATCACACAGCTGCAGTAGAATCGTCGGTTCGCAGGTTGCAAAACACGCGTTGTATTGCTTCCATAAAGCGTCTTATCTTGTCGGTGCAATTAGTGGTGATACATCGTAATAATGTACATTGCTTATTTGTGTATATTTTGTAATATAAAGCGCAACCTATGTTGTGATGTGCAGAAACTCCCATGTAATAAAATAAATTAACAACGTGGGGTAGAAGTTGAAATTGTGAAGGCCGCACTACTTACTTTTATCCCCTGTTCCCGAAAGGACAACCACGTCACAGGTTCCGTAATCCGAATAAACGAACCGGCCTTCAGATGCGGCTGCTGTCGAACAAACATAATAGACATATATTACGACCCGCAATCGCCGCAGCCCCTGATAGCTTAAGAAACGCAGGGTGTGGCTTATTCTGTTCAAGCTTCTCGCTTCCTCAACGTTCTTGTCTGCTAATGCCGCGATCTCATTGGCTCAGGACCAATAATAAGTAGATACTTAGGTCGTGCCGCACCGTGCGTTTCTTAAAGCTTTCACATATTATAAGCAAATAGGGAAAAGAAACACTACCTTAAACTTTTTTTAAAGTCGCATTTTTCAAATTCCAATTCCAATTCTTTATTGATTCCTGAATCAGAGAATGCAGGCAGAGAAAAAAGCAACTAGCACGCTGCTTGAGTAGCCTCTTTCCCTTCCCCTTCCCCCCCCCCCCCCCCCCATAGCAGCCCACGGAAGAACAAACATAAACGTAAATACACTAGCATTTGAAATATTCATTATAGAATGGGAAAGACATCATCTAATGTCTTTCCCATGCTAAAAAAAAAAGAATTTAAACAAAAGGGCGAGAAAAGAGAAACGAAAATATATGTAGAAAATAACAACACGTGTAAATGGCATATAACCGGGTTAAACTAAACTTGCTTTTTTTTCTTACATGGGAGTAACCATTAGACAAGAAAGTGAACATATTTGTTTGGCGGACATACTGAAGATATCTGTTTCGAGTTCATAAAAACGATTCAGAAGATGGGGGAGGGTACATTATAACATCTGATTCCCATAGTTTGTTCTTGAATGTGGCACTATACATATCTCAGCATTACGAGTTGGATAATTTGCTTGTCCAAGTTCAAGTTGGGAAATGGATAGATACATATTTTCGTTCTGTCTAAAATACCTTTTTGTAGGAAAGTGCAAGTTTATAACTATAGTGATTTGGAAATTGCACTAGTATATTAAATTTATGAAATATTGGCTTTGTTTGGTCTCATGAGCTTCAAAATATCCTCTTGGATGATGTAAAAAATTTCACTCATAACTAAAATAATTTTTTCAGCAAAAAAAAATAATATTTCCGACAAGCTGGCATCATCTAAAGGTCTGTCCAAACACGACATTACAAAAAGCGTTAGGCAACCCGACTCCTTGAAAAATCAGCAAAATTGAAGCGGGCGCTTCAATTTTGGCGATTCTTGAAGGAGTCGTGTCGACTGACAATTTTTGTGGCCAAGCCAACATCACGACTTTTCTCCTCGCCTCCTCCACTTTTCTTTGACGTCGGTCGGTGCTCGTCAGATTTGACAGGACAGGCCACCTGCCACTGGTGTTCTCTCGCGGCTCGCAGACCTCGCTACCGCCGTCGCCTCGGCTGGAAGGCCAAAGAGGTCCGCTTCGGGTGGATTTGGGTGATTCCTGCGTCAAAGCACGCGTTTCGCTTCTCGCATTAAAAGGGAACGACACCTTCGTGTCGTTCCCTTTCCCGTTTTAGGGACTAGAAAAATGGCGGAGGCCTTGGGCGATTGAGCGAAACCCAACAGAGCGTGTGAATAGCTCTCCGGACCCACTTGATGAGCAGATAAAGTGCGCCATAAAGGGCACGGGCGAGATTTAAATAAAAAAACTCCCCCCCCCTCCCAAAAAAAGAAAAAAAAAAAGGACGGAAGCGGACCGTCGAACGATTTGTCGGAGCCGTGTTGCCTGACGACTTTTGCAGTGTCCTGTTTGGACAGGTCTTATGGTGCAGCTTTCTGACTTTCGAAGACGTTTATCTCGATTTCACTTTTAATGCAAATCATTAACTGTCCCATGGAACGAAGCCGGCGTTGTCTGCGACAGGGGAAAACGGCATATAAATTTCGTCTGTAGCAGCAACAAGCGGCAGCTAAATTCCGTCTGTAGCAGCGAAAAACGTCGGCTAAAATCATAATGGCTGCGACGCGTTATAGTTCCAAGGTGAAACATGCAGCATAACACCCGTCTCACGCGGCTATGAATATAAATTGCAGGAATATTTAATCGAAAATAAAAGTGAATATACGGGTATGTCCCCAGAGGAGCCCTCTTCCTGGTTTTGCGGCCCACGCCCCGCTAAAAGGGAGAGGGTGGCGCGTGCTTGGCTGCCGTTTTTTCCTCTCTCTCGGGTCACGTGTCAGGCGTGGCGGGAAAGGGGGAGGGGAGTAGAGGGGAAGCGGAAAATTTTCCCTATTTCTCCCTGCGCACAACTCTGTCACGTGCTCTACGTTCTGCATTGCGCCATGTCGCGACACCCGGCCTGCCTCTACGGAGGACAGTGGGGCACAGTGATTGTAGGAATGCGCTGCATGTACTAATGCTTTCGCATTCCTACACGTAGACAATATTAAGTGTCCTCCTGTAATATTGCGACATCAAATCTCGGTTCGGGAAAACAATAAAATTTCATAAGGACTTGATGTGTGTGGAGCCAGTTTTTGAAGTTTCTGTACTCAAATTTTGTAATGAACACTGCTGTAAGATCACTTTCAATACTTTCATTGTTTTAGTTATGGAAAGTTGCAGTTGATTAAACCTAATGCACGCAAAAATTGTAAACTTTTTCACATTGACTTTTATTTTCTATTAAAAGTCCTATAATTTCTGCAATTTATACTCACACTCTAAAAAATCCCCATGCGTCTGCTTTCCCGCACAACGCTCGGAGAGCCAATCAGTGCAACTTACGGAGGCAGCTCAGCGAATAACGATGGCGAAACATCTGTTTAGACCAAAAAACGCAGTCTGAGTTGTGACATTAAGCAATGCAAGCGCGACGTTTTGTATTGCTTAATGTCACAACTCAGACTGCGTTTTTCGGTCTAAACATATGTTTCGGCATGATCATTCGCCGAGCTGCCTCTGTAAGTTGCGGTGATTGGCTCCCCGAATGCTGCGCGGGAAAGCAAACGCACAGGCCTTTTTTTAGAGTGCAGAGCCGCGTGACAGGCGTGTTATGCAGTATGTTTCACCGAAGGAAGAGGTCATCATCATTACCTTTTCTCGTTGGGTTCTGCTCAGGGGATACTGTATTAGTTTATGTACTTTTAGGTAACTCCTTGACCGAGGAAGTTACAAACTTAAAGTTTTACATGTCACTTTTTTTTTTTTTTGTCAGGTATGAATCTGCCCCGCAACTTTCACATAAGACTAGAGGCACATCCCCACATTTGCTTTCGAGCGCGGTGCGTTAGAAGCGGCAAGCGGAAGCGTACCGTTGCTAAGAGAGCTTGTGCCAAGCTTGTACACAAAGTTGCGTTGACACACAGTCGACTGCAGTCAAGAGCCAATAAGAATGCGGTACTGTCGGTAACGGCTGAACAGTAACGAAGTTCAAGGTAACATGGCGGTGCCCGACAACAGCGTCGAAGTGGTTGATCTTAAGACAATCTTGCTGGCTCTCACGGCATTCTGCCCGGCTTGAACCATGACAGCCTCTGAAAAACTTTGCTCGAGGCGTTCCCCACAGCTCCCCGAACGAAGAAGTCGCTTCCGTGAACGGAGAACCGGATTCGCATCGTCGAGTGGTGCGAGCGAACACGTGACCCTCCTCTCCTTTCTTTGACTTCTGACTGGTCTATCGCAACACGCTCCCGTTACTGCCGCGTCCAAGGGAGTTTTCGTTGACCGCGTTTCCCCCTCCGCTAAGCCCTCCGCAACGAAGAAACCGCTACTGCGCCTGCACGTCGACGGCCTTCACTGTACAGTTCCGGGTATCGGAGGCGGTTGCGGAGAGCGTTGCGGGACGGTGAAAACGATCTACGAAAACTCCTCGATGACCCGGTCTCTAGTCTCTCGCGGCGCGTTGCGAAGCACTGCGCGACGTCGTGCATCGGTCCGCAAGCAACCGCTTCAGGCTGTAAGGACGCCACTCCCCACTCAAACGCGCTCAAACGCGAATGTGTCCTGGGCTGGTTCAGCCACATTCGACTGCTTAAACACCGTACCGTTAAAAAATCTGTTACGGCGAGAGTAGGGTGCCCTGATGCCAGCGCCCTCCCTGCGGAGAGTGAGGACAATATGCGTCGTCTGCTCCGGCAGCCGAGATTATGGTACCCACTACGAACGGCCGGCATGCATAGCGCGAGTCCGTTAAAAAAGAGAAAAAAAAAACGCACTTGTTTACAAGCTTGTCTTCTGGGACTCTAAAACAAAGTAGTGCTGTTTCTGTTGAAATCTTTATGACATCAGCGAACAAAGGTCAGAAAACGTTGCAGAACCGTACGCACAGGGTCGCTTGTGTAAAAAAAAAAAGAAATACAGGAAACGTGTAATTTTTATCACTCGCTAGTTCGCACTCAAACCTGATCTCCGATTGCACCTCGTTGGTTTTTAGTTCAATGTTATGTGGACGATACTTCGTGATGCATTATAAACTACGAAAATTAAGCTAGCTTGATCGTTCTGTCGTAGATTGGGGATCAGCAATGGTTTGACCTTGGCAAACCCATTAAGCGTGTGGTTTCCTCGTGCCGCCTGTGTGGGGTGGAGTAGGCCTATGTGTGCGGCAGGGGGCGCAAACATATACAGCATGTGTGTGTGTTGCGCTCGACTCGTTCAATGCTCTCTCGTCTTTGTCAGCATTATCAAGCTCTTGCTTGAATTTATTCCCAAAAGCTGGTGTGAGAATGTAAACATATGTGTAATCGAAAATATGCGGATGGAGATCACGTACGATAATGAAAAGTGCCCGTGATGTGTACATTTATATATATACATGCTAAAACAAAAATGCTTATGCTGGAATATTTTAATGGGGATTGAATTGCGGTGTGTCCACATTATTAGAAAAAAATGGAATAAACCTGCCGTGCGTCCCAGGCTTGATCCCTGACGAGAGGAGTATCGTAGTTGTTTTTCTTTTGTGGTAATTATTCCGAGATTAAGCTAAGTGTGGATATTATTACTATTGATTAAGCCTGGCTAATCATTTCCATTACTTTGACTATTCTGAACAAGGACTCATATGGAGTATACATGCATGTATGCGCTGAACTTTTGAATAAAGAAGGAACGTTTCAATTGCACGTGAAGTGTTCCCGTGGAAATATACGTATAAGCACACTTATGCGATGACCCGGGTCGATTGTCAATCCACTTCTTTCCCTTGACAAGGAGAAATAGTTCTTGGAGTTTGTGATCAAATGTTTTCGTGGTGGATATTGCGGGATGTATGGATACGATGGACAGGCGAGAAATAACCTATTTACACGCTTTGTTGGTCACGTGGGACGCGAGTAGAGTGCTGCAGTCTGTTGCTTTAATCTCGTGATAGAACGAATTCTCGTTCATAGCAATGCGAGTGCAATTGAGTCTACATTTGAAGTATGCGTGGCAACATTCAAGTTTTTACTGGAAGGTGAATAAGAACCTTACGTGGCTATTATTAAAAGTGGGTTGTTTGTGCTTATGTTTTCTTATTACCAGTTATGGGCACGTTACTGCTGAAATCTAATAGTGTTACAGTTACAGTTACTTGGAGGAAAAAAGTAACCCTGCAACAAGTAGTTGAAAAACTTGAAAGATCAACTTGGTACAGTTGCATTTATTTCGCTAAAGTAACGCCGTTATTTCGTCGTTACTTGACAAAAAAATATTAGAAAACATTCAAAATTAACCTGGCTTATATGCCTTTAAATTAGTTTTTATGCTCCTCAAAACATATTGTTGTTCTCAACATGAACTTTGATTTTTAAGAAACTGATATTTTCTCAGTAATCAATAGTAACATATTTGGTTCTTCCTATTTAAATTTTTACCATGAATAGCTCCCTGATCAAAATCTTAAGTTCAGAAAATATTAGGGTAAATTTACAATATGAAAAAGGATTTATTGTATCGTCTTTGGCCGAATTGTAGGGGACCTTAGCTTTTTTTAGGTGTTAAGCCAGCAGATATTTTCTGATCACCCATGAAGAACTTTAAAATAAGCGCGACAACTATAACGTATAGACGAATAAAAAAACAAAAAAACACGCGTCTAGGTCTTAGGCATATCCAATCATGGTGCGGGTTTACAATCGGTCAATTCTAATTCAGGATTTCATTGGTGAGAAGAACTGGGATAGAACCAATAAAAATCAGTGCAAATGTGAAGACAACAATGATATAAGTTGAACCTTGCAATCAGCTTTGTAGATGTCTGATTATGCCACACCAATTCACTCGTTGGTCGACTCGTTTTCTACTGCGTGCGCACACTCTTTCATGAAATCAGTAGCATCTCTTAAATAATTGGAGAGCAATGTCGCGACAACAATCCTCTGTCGAACCCGCTGAACACGACAGCGGTGCAAAAGAAGGTCTGAGCGAGGTACAAATGACCACTGCGCATAGAATTCCAAACGGCTGGTGCGATCTTTTCTCCGCCAGTTCCTAACCAAATGAGACACGTTTGCCTACCTCCATCTCACCACCCCAACTAGAAGACACCACCCGGAATACCCACGACGTGAATATCTATAAATCAATTGATGCCAAGTGTCCATACTCCCGGCTAAGAGCGGTCTTTCAAGTACAAGAAAGCACACAAGGAAGCAGAACGACACACACGTTTCGAGTGAATACTCTTTGTCAAGTGAGGGGACGCGGGAAGCAGAGCAATGGGCACAGCAAGTGGGTGCCAGGAGGCAAGGCCGGTAATTGGGTTGCAAAAAGAGGGAAGGGAAACCAAATGCACCTAAAGTCGAAATCCCGCAACAATGCAATGGGAGTTGGAGGCTCGGAAAATCGGTTGTGCCGTAAGCCTGCGGGCGTTTGAGGCCACAATCACCAAAGACTCTCCTTCGCGAAGAAAAGAGAAGCGCTTAAGAGATGCCGCGCATTGTTTCATCTGCGTGCGCTGAAGGCCATGTACCATACACATGGGGCACGTTCACAACCGTCCACATCCTTCAGTTGGCGGGACCAGCTTGGCCAAGCATCGTCACCCTAAATATAGTTCATTTTCATTTTTAGTTTTTTCCTCGTGGTACAGATGGCTTCTGCAGCAGTTTTTCCTAAAATCGAAGCTAGTTACCGGTAGCGTGTTACTAGTGACTAGTTACTACTCAATACTGATTTACACTAATATTAAAAATGCGAAAGAATTAACTGTCTCATGGAGGGAAGCCGGCGTTATCTGATGTTTGTAGCAGCGAAAAACGGCACCTGAATACCCACTAAATGAGCGAAACGGCACCAAGATAACCATTGGCTGAGAGGAGCGGTACCTGAATTTTCATTTTGACTGAGCGAAACGGAACTTAAACTCCCGTTGGCTGAGCGAAACGGCCCATAAATTTATATTAGCGGAAAGCGGAAGCGCCTCAGAAAAATTGAACACAAAGAAAAGCACTACAACGCAGATGCCTCGTCACGGAACACGTGGAACCGCGGGGGTTGACGTGGCTGTGCAGTGGGGGAGCGTATGTCACCGCCGGAGCGCCGTTTGAAGAAGGCAGAAGCGGAGCGTTTCTTGTAAGAATACGCTGCGTGTATGAATGCTTTCGCATTCCTACACGTAAGCAGTCTTAAGTGTCTTTGCTGCTTATTTTATGGCCTTTACCACTTTCATACTACAACTTGGCTGTATTAAGGTAATAGTTATATTGAATCAAGCATAAATTATATTTTTTTCTTAGGTAGCTTGAGCTTATTGAGAGATGTGGATTAGTTGATTGCAAATATTAAGTAAGTTTAGTACCCCTACCAAACGAAGAAGTTAATATATCTTCAATAAATAATATTATAGGACTGAATCACCCCGCGATCCTGAGTGAAGATACGAAAATCGCAAGCTGATTTGCCAAGCCTATAAAGTTATTCAATGAAAATTATATTAATTTTGCAATGTGACCTGGGTATAATGATAGAATTCAGTGCCTGCATGCGTTAACATCGCTTCCATGATTGTAAGTGACACCTGTCCAGCCGTGTTCGCATTGACTACGTCTACATTTCTTTTATCTGTGATCTGTTTTGCTGTGTCCAATCACTGCGTTTCTCGTCATTTTGCCGAAGGATTTCTGTATAAAATATGCATTCCTACAACAAAAATTACGTCACTCAATGGTTTCGACTTAATAAATACCATTTTTCTGTAGACGTCTTAAACGCGTACCTCGTGCTATTCCTTACCGATTATTATGCGATGTAATATTTTGCCCATGTAATAAAGTGTTTTCTAGGCAAATTTCTCTGTGCAGTTTTTGTTTTAGCTAATAAGACACGCTTGTATTGTTACGACGGTCGATCCACGCACGTTGCCTTCGCTTCGGCGCTTCGGCGCGCGCCCTCGATGGCCTTCCTTTGCGACGTCACAAAAAGTGCGCTACGGCCTTAGCTTCTATGGTGTGTTGGTCGGCGCCGAGGCCCGGGGTGCCGGTCGGTTTCTAGTTTTGTTTTCGGAACAAAAGAAAAATATAGAAATGAAGATAGAAAATAAAATACATTTTATTTTCATTTTGCGCCGAAGGCGTTTTATAGAAATTGCTGTTATATGAAAAAGTTTTCTATTTTAATTTTTACCTGAATGAGAGCGTTCCACCACCGAAGCGCCGCTGTCGGTAGCGACGCTATTGACAACGCCGCCGATGGCGGCGACGCTATAATGTGAACGCCACGAAAATCGGACATGGACCGGAGGCGGTAAAGCCCCGAGTCCTAATGTCCCTTCAGGGGCATTAGGGGTCGGCAGGAGAGTGCGCATCGAGGAACCCTGGTGCCGTATTTCCGGTAGCTGTGGAACATTTGCGGTTCTCGGTATATTTTCTTTTCTTTTTCGCACATCATTCTTTCCTCCTTGGATTGAAAAACTTTTGAGAATGTTATAAAATATCATTTCGGAAACACAGTACGTACATTCGATGTTGCAGATGCCGCAAAACATTCTATCGATTGAAATTTACTTCCCAGGATTACCTCATAGATGGCGCCAGCGTGCCAGTTTGTTCTCTCGTCGTAAAATATTACAAGAACTCGGTGATAAGCAGACGCATGTGTGTGAACGGGACCTTACACGCAACATAAAACCGCAATGGGTACTGTGCTGTGTAAATCTACACTCTCAGAAAAAAAGGGTATAATCTTAGACCCCATGTCCCATATACGGTACCCAAAAACTTCAGTTCGACGTAGAGCGCGCTGACGTCGAGCGGTCGTTCCCAACTTTAACAGGCGGCTTGATAGCCGAGTGGTACAACTTATTGAAATAGTTAATGTACGTGTTATTGACGACAAAAAAATGTTATCGTCGTTTTCTTTGTATTACTGCAAAACCTCAGCGTTTATTTTCTGTAGTCTTCGATACGTACTTTAGCTGCTTAATGTGGAATATCTCACCGTTCTCAAGCACCTCGTAAAATTCGAGGCCGTCTGTTTGAAGTCAGCGCTCTGTGCGTCGAAATAAAGTTTTGGGGTGTCCTAATAGGACAAGGGGTGTAAGAATATACCTTTTTTTTCTGAGAGTGTACGGTAGGATATCTAGATTTTGAATAAAGTAAGATATTCCGGCTTACATGCGTCACCTCCCTCCGCATTGCTCATTTGGATGGTGTCGCCGCCTGTAGGAGCCACCTTGATACGCACGGTCTTTATTATCCTAAATTGTAAAGTCAGTTCCTTGTAATCAGGCGAAGCAAAGAAGGGTAGCCAAGGGCAAGTGTATACTTACCATGAGTTCTTCTGATCGTCCCAGTACTTCATTCCGCTCTTCGTGGTCTTGGTTTCTTCGTTTTTCTCGGACAATTCTATGGAGACACATTTCCCGGTGCCTCCGAGGCCCTCATCATTTTCGTAGGAACGGTAGATGAGGTAAAAAGCCCCCGGGAGAGTCACAGTCTGCAAAAAAAGAGATTGAAAACAATTACTGTCTTGTGCTGGCCAGTGCGGTGTCTATACTTCCTCCAACACTCTATTCATTCTGCAGCGTCTGCTCTTCCACAGAGCACTTAGGAGAGCCATCGCTGCAATCTATGAATGAGGAAACTGATAATATGTTCAAATCTAAAAAAAGAAAACTGACTGCGCTGTGGCACTGAGCTTAAAGCTTCACCTGGCTAAATGCCACAACTCAAAACATTATATTTTATAAAGCTTGAAATGTTTTTGTTTTTTAGCGCTACTCGCCATTCCTAAATTGTGTATGTTCGTCCGTCCGTCCGTCTGTGCATTTTCCGCCAAATCTAGCTGGAAAGGTGTCGTCATTACCTGACGTCACGTGAGCTATACTCTTTGGGGAAATCGACGGCACAACACCTACCCGTCAACTAAGTTTCCCGTATTGTGGCCAAAACATCACTTCAGTTTCACCTGCTATATCTAGCTGAGAATTGACGTCACGCGACTTGTACACCACCTCCGTCAGTTGAAAATAGAGCGGGAACATTCACCCCCTGTGACTTAGACACTAATCCAGTTTCCTTACTAAATTTGGAGGGAAAATATAGTCATGTGACACACCAATTCCCTCACCAACTCCGTATACACATCATGAATAGACCGATCTCACTGACGCCGCCCTAACTTTAGCTCATAGGAGGCAGACGGCAGTGCATGCGAGGGCTCGTGCCGTCTTGCGCTCTACACGCGCAGAGCCCTAGCGGGGTTGTCGCACGTGCAGAAAGACTAAAGTTACCTCGATGCTTGGCGGAAGCGGTGGTGTAGTCTGACTGGCTGGTTATAGGACCTTAAAAATAAAAATCGCTGCCAATTAAAAAAAAAGTTTCTCCTACCAAAGCATCTAATCTTGAACTCCACAGACGTGGGCCAAACGCCACTGGACTCGGTCGTCTGCATCGCCGTGCGCCGTTGACCATGGCAAGAGTTTGGCGCCGTATTGTTTTACGAAAAGGAAGTTGCGCCTCGTAATTTCAGAGCTTTAAACCCATCAGTGAAATACATCGTTGACGACAAGTTCAGGTTGCTAACTGCAGGCGCCGATTTGAAAGGCTTTTTTTAGGGTGAGCCTCCGCATTTTAGACACCCTATACATTGCGAGTTAAAAATGCACAAACATCTCTGACTCTGACATTTTTACTTTAAATTTTTTACTTATGATCTCATAATTTTTTTTAAGATATAGCACTCTTTTGTTTTCCTATATTTTTCACATGGGGGGTACCGTCTGTATAATATTTGTTGGTCGAGTAGTTTATAAAGAAACTTTTACAGCGCGTCAAACATGTTCCAAGGTCAAAAGTTTCGAAACTTCAACGTGCGAATAAAAACACCCATCTTTGAATTTAAAGGATGAAGAAAATTAGGTGAAGCATTTTAAACCACATCGTGGTGTTTTTAAATGAAAGACATGCTGCATTATTTTGTCGCCGTCTGAAATATAGCGCTTCAAAACGGACATATTTGGCTACATTGACATTTTACCCAATATTGATATTGATATTGTACCTTTTTTAAGCTTTACTGCTCGATTTTTTCTGATATATTTTCCACAAAAGGATATATCATCTATATATATATTGATGCTTTAGTTTATGTCTTAAACTATCTATGGGGCTTCAAACATGTCTCAAGGTAAAAAGTTCCGCAACTTCAACGTGCAATAAGAAAACTGTTTTTATGTAGGCGAAGCATTCTACACAATACCACCACGTTTGCATAAAAGAGGCATGTTGCGTTCTTTTATTTCCGTCTAAAATATAGCGCTTGGAAAAGCGCAAATGTGGCTACTTTTCCATTTCGACTTCCTATTTTTTTTTTTTATTTCGTGGTGTTTAAATATAGAGCATTGGAATTTTTCTACTATTATTCACATAAGTAACTATCATCCGCTTATACACATAAGTTGTTGCTCTATATTATAAGCAACAATAACAACGCTCCAGACCTATCCTAAGATAAAATGAAATGTAACTCAAATTGAACATGCAATTTAAGAAAAAAATCTTTGGTGTGTATATCTTTTTTTAGTTTATTTCTCTTCAAACTAGGGGAAGAGGGGAGGTAGAGAAAAAAAGCTGCCATTGCAGCTTGACGGGGCCTCTACCTCCCTTTACAGTACAGCGCAAAACAGGACACCTGCAAATGCACATGCAGAACCAAACATATTCAAAATAACCACTTGTACCAGATTTACCACGATTGAAAAAAAAATACTAGTTACATCAAAAAAGGACATTTTCACATTATGTTCCTCATTCAAAAACGACATCACTCTCCACCAGGAGTTCTTTAAAATTTCTCTTGAAAATCGGAAAGAAACACTGAAAGTTTACATTTTCTTCAATTTTGTTTAGCAAGGAAATAAACTTGATAATCCAGTTGTTGCTTGCCGTAATTTGTTCTTACTTTGTTTTTTTTTTCAGATATTTGTTCTCAGTGCATGATCTGAGCTAACATTCTTCGGGATTAGGTATAGCTTCCCTTTTTGGATAAGCTGAAGTAATTTAAAGTAATATATTTTGTTAGCCTTTAGTATAGTGAATCTTTTAAACAGTGGATCCGTACGCAAGTCCCGCCAATTACGCTGAAAATTGTCGAGCATCCGAAGAATTCGTTTTTGAAAGACTATTATTTTATTATGTTCGTCATAGTTGTGGTACCCCATACCAATGCACCGTATGCTATTTTTGAGTCACATAAAGAATAATTAATAGAATTCCTTTTTTAACCATGGAGGTAGCAGTTTATGAATTCTATACACATCCTATTGATTTAGATAGTAAAGAACAAAGGTTTTGTATATATATAGTTTATGGAGTCAAACTCCATATAGTACACATGGAGTTTGACGAAAGGAGGACAACTTCGAAAGTGCGAAAACATCGCGTCGCAACAAAAAAAGACTTGTGTCGTTTTGATCCTGGGCCAGGGGACATTTAGGAAAATTGTTAAAGTCCGGAATAATTAAACTGTTAATTACCTTTGCGTTATTAACTTTTAAGTGTTGTGTTTAAGGGCATGGTTTTAATTAGAAAATTGCTCAAGATCATCAAAAAACAGTAAATCAACAAATTACAGAACGATAGAAATCCCGCGAAGCATTTTACGGCTTTATTAAAAACCGCACAAATTCGACGGGTGTTTAAGTTTGGATTTGCAATCGGAGCGCATCTCGGCCCCGAAACCACCGCGCACCGTGGAGAAATAGCGAAACCAGCCTCTGTTGCGTTGTGCGAGTACACCGCAGCGCACCAGTTTGCGCTGTTCTCGCGCAACTGCGTTGCAACTGATTACCAGTGTGCCTGCTGATCAGTTGCAAGGTTGTATTGGTTTATGGCATGACCTTGAATTCAGTACACCTCAAAGGGGCACTGAAGTGGATTAATAAATCGTCCACTTATTATCATAACTCGATCTACAAGCTCTAAGCAACCTAGAAAGCCCAAAATTATGTTCAAGAGCGGCCGATTTCTATATTAAAAGCGCAATCAAATATCATACCACGCTCCTCTTTCTACACCGTGGCGCAGAACACCAGGGAGCGCCACCAAACGGGAAGGCAGCATGGCAGAGCACGCGAGAGCCAATCACGAGTGACGGCTTCCCGGCGGACTGATTTTTCGAAGGCGCGCGTGTTCTAAAATTCAGTCCGCCGGGAAGCCGTCACCCGTGATTGGGTGTCGCGTGCCCCTCCCTGTGGCCTTCCCGTTTGGTGGCACCCCCTGGTGTTCTGCGCGACGGCGCAGAAAGGTGGGCGTCACACGATCTTTGATTGAATTTTTAACAGGAAAATTGACCGTCCTTGAATGTAGTTTCGATTTTTTGAGGATGCTTAGAACCAGAAGAATTAGTTACGACGGTAAATAGCTGTTATCCGAATCCACTTGAATGCACCTATAATACAGGTCGAAGTACTAAGGTTAAAAATGTGTATCGTTTGACACAGTTCCGTCGTTTAGAAACCTTTTTGAGCTCTTCAATTGCCGCTAAGAAGTCTGCAAAAATGTGAAGATTGCGGATGGTCGGCATCTTGGTGGCTGCTGCTTGTACAGTAACGTGGATGGCCTGTAGTTCCATGACAAGAGGGTCGACTTTCGCAGATGCATATCGCTGGTGCCCCTGAGTGCAAGTATGTCAAAGGAGCTGATGAGGAATGAAAATCGGCAGCCGTGTGGGAAGATCGCTGCGTCAGTGTAAGCTTGACAGTGGTTGCCGTGCTGTGTTTCGGGGAGCCACGTTAAAAATACGCATGTAGCGCAGCAACCGCTGGTACAAACTGCTGTTCCCTTGCCTGTTCTCGTTGAGAGATGAGTTTCGTGATTGTGTTCAGCCTCGTGTGTTTTTGTAGGATTGAATCTAGAGTAATCCGGAGGCAGCGTCGTAAAAGCGCGCATTCCGTCACGATTCCTAGTTTCATATTGCGACCACTGTGCCGCCGTGAGTTGTTGGAACTGCACCTGGTATATAATTGGCGGTTGCAAGATCGCATGAACCAGCCGTCGAGCAATGTCTGCACGGGCACCACCAGCTTTCGGCGCTATGCGCCCATTGAAATGGAGTGGTGGCAGATGTTGGCCTAATCTTTCGGAGCCCTTGGTTTTGAATATCCAGGCGCAGTATCCGGACATTCGTATTTTTAGGTATTGTTATAGTACCCAGCTTGAGTTGAAAGGGGGCCGGAGTGAATTCCTCACATCCCGCCTTGATTGCTACGCAACATTGTGGCATTTTTGCAGAGATATTTACAGCCCAGCTGAATCTGAATAGTTCAGAAGAATATCAAGGGCTTCTTGGAACAGCTTGGCTTGCCAGAGAGGTCCTTGTGTCTAGTCCATAAAGTGCCGTTGACAGCATAGATGAGACATTCGACGTCCGGAACCTGATGGAGTTGCCATGCTAGAGGTATCAGTGTAATGTTAAAAAGAACCGGAGACAAGACGGTGCCTTGGGGGACTCCCCTATTGGATGTAAAACATCTCTCTCATTGTCCATCCTCCCTTATAGCAAAGGTTTGATTCCGAATGAAGGAGTATACAAATCGAGTAACCCGCGGAAGAAACACCAGCTCTAGGCGGACCTCAAGTTTGTCTGCTTCTTTTGCAGGGGTTGTGGTGACGTCAGAAACGCCGAGCTCTGATTGGCTTTGATTGAAGAATAGTGGGTAGACCTCAAGGCAGCTTTCTTCGAGGTCCACCCTCTATCATTCAATCAGAGCCTAACAGAGCTCGGCGTCTTTCTGATGGAACCGCAACTTCTGCGCAAGGAGTTCACGAATTGCTCTCTGCATACGGTTCGTCATTATTATTCAGTAGTCAATATTGTCATACGCTTTGGCAATGTCTCAAGCTACAATTGTGCATACAGCTTGACCTGTATGATGTCGTCCATCAAAATCGACAGGCCCTTCTCAGTACCCAAGAACGGTGGGAAGCTGATTTTCGCGGGCTGATATTTGCCGTAGCTTTTGAGCCACCAGGACACTCGTGTGGCTACCATCCTCTGTACAAGCTTGCAAATCGTCGGTGTAAGCGAAATCAAATCGTAAAGCTTGGAGAGTGTTGGGTGCCTTTTCTGGTTTCCGGATAGAGCCGCAATAGAATGCTACCTGTCAGAGGGGATGTCTCCTGTCACCCATACTTGGTTGATGGCCTCCAGGAGTGTGTCAAGGGCTGGACCTTTCAGGTTTTGTAATACCTCAGTAGAGACACCATCGTGACCGGGGGTTGTGGGTTTCTTCGTAGCTTTAATCGCCGCAATAAGTTCAGATAAGCTAAAAGAACTAGATAAGTCTGCCTGGGAGTTGGATTCAGACTCGTCAATATCGGGGTACTGTATGGGTGAAGCCTGATCATATTTGGGAAAGAATGTTCGAGCTGCGTAGGTTGCAAAACTTCCGGTACGCTTCGCAGTGCGAGACGAACACAGGCAGCTGGGTCGGGCTGTTTTCCCCGTTGCTCCTTGGAGTGACGCGTGCGTCAGAGAGCTTTGTTTTTAGTACCGTTCCCAAGGCTATCACACGACTCAAACTACCTTTATCTGGAAAGCTGTTTCTCGTGCCGACGCGCTTCGGCCGCAAGATGGTTCACACGGGATCGACTACCAGGCATAGCCGTCCGGCAACACGTGACATCTCGTACCACGTGATCGCCACGTTCTTGACGGCCCGAGGTACATGTTGCCGGAAGGAGCCGGAAGTTTCAGTTTCGACTTCTGCTCATGCTTAAAATTAAATTTAAAAATACATATCCCATTTTTCGCGAAGCAAAGGCCGTAGTGTCCTTTACTAGGGCTTTTTAAGGCGAAATCACTCATTATTCTGATATCTTCGGAATTGAGCGAAGTTGCCCTTTAATTCGACCTCAGCCAACACTGTGATTCCACGAAGTGAATCAATAAGCGCTAAAAGCGCATCATCACGGCGCTGGTCGCCTTTATAAGCTTTCTGTTACCGTGTAAAACAATCACGCAAAGTGAATGCTGCTTAATACTGCGCCATTTTTATTTCGTCCGTGATTGGTTTAGCCGTTATTAGCAAACGCAGAAAGACAACGACTGCCGTGACCAAGCACTTATGGCGCTGTATGATTGGCTCCATTGGATCGTGGCGTTTGCCGCAGTCAGACCTAATGTGAAACGGTGTATCGAGAGGAATCGGAAACCGTGTTTATTGCTGGACACTGCTGCAAGGTTCAACGCATTACGTCTGGTTTAGAACGATAAACGTTCTTAATCAGAAGGAGGCCACAAGACCCTGCTGCTGCTTTCCGTAGATCAAAGTGATGCACACCGTTTAATATCGCGGTCTCTATCGAAAACGAGAAGCCCGCAAACGCACGTAGGTGTTTTTGGGGCGCCACAGAAGGGCTGAACAGTTCTCGTACTGTACGACCGAGTTCCACTATAACGACAACCATAAAGAAACAACAACTACATGTCGAAAACACATGCAGCATGCTCGAGATGTTACCTTTGGCAGTCGTTTAGTCGTTCGGTGCTCGTGAAGTAAGCACGAGTGATTGCAAGCCTGCAAAAGATGCCCTCGCCTGCATGATGCTCGTGTTTGAGCATAGCTTCCTATATTCTACAAAGCATGTCAAATCGCGAAAGAAAGTTTTTGAGGCTTGTCACTGTCGTCTCTTTCACTTCGTCGCTCTAGTGGGACTCGGGCATGAATGACACGTTTTAGAAGAATAAACGGAGAAGAAAAGGACAAACAAAGAGCATGGCTCGACCGCACAGCAATTTCCAGATCCTGCACGTTTCTTAAATAGGCAGCAGAATACTGAAAGTGGGCTTCACGGAGATTTCAGCGAAATCAAGAGTCCATGAAAGAAATTTTGGGCTGGGATAAAAAACTTTAGATTGGAATCTTACAAATCGCATATCGCTCACTGGGCCAAATTAAAAAAAAAAAAAAAACGGTAGAAAGTGAAACCTGCTTTTTGGTACGAAAATTCGAAGATATACCAGACTCTTTCGTACCTCATTTCCTTCGAAAACTTTCCGCCTTTTCACTGTGCTACATCCGCGGTACTCAAAGCACGCCAGCCTACACCAGCTCAGGCATTGGACACGAGCACTGCGTCACTCGGACGTAGGCGCTCGGCAACAATCAACCCGTCGACGAATATTTGAATTCGCGTTCGTGCCCAATGATTGCCGTGACGGCACTTATTGTCGCTTGCGAATGACACGGTCCATGGTTTGCTCAAAAAGGAAGGTGGAAGTTTGGAACTATCGTCCCAAGCACTTCACACACCACGTGATTTCTCATTTCGCTTTTCATGGCCCCTTTAAGCAGCTTTATTGTAAAATGTATGTAAAATAACGCAAATTTTAAATACTACAACTTTAAATTCTAGTGACTCTACTATAAACGGCGAGGCTACTGTAAAATCTAAAACGATATTTCAAACTTTAGGACCTTACGAAACATATAGTTTCAAAAAATGCGTGGGTTTCCAAGAAAAAATGAGAATCAAGTACTCAAGTAATCCTTTTCCAGTTCTTACCCTCCAGGCGTCCACAGGTGAACCGGTTGAGGAGGTGTCTTGAGAGCCAACACTGGCGATGGCGGCCACAAGGCTAGCAAACACAAGCAGTGTAGGATACATCTTGACTTCTTCAGCACGACCAGAAAGGGATATCTAAGTTAAATAGAAAACTGTTTGTTGGTCACAAAGTTTCAATTTAAACTAGCATTCGTACAGAAAGAAAGGAGTAGTAAGAATATCGATGGCTCACCTCAGCAGATATGTTGCTTCTTCGGACCCCTGTTCAAGACTGACTCTGTGTACGAGGCAAAGCTTCTTTTAAAGGAACCGGTTGGCAATAGGTCAGTGATGATCATTCCTTTGATATTTCGCCTCTTAGATTTCACGTGATTTCTTTGTCACTGCCATTTCGCTTGATCTTTAAATCGTTACATTTCCTTTTGTCGTTCGCAGTTTTCAAGTTTCTTTTACCTCTAAAAGGCAGGACAATGAAAACGTTTTCGGTCAGTTTAACAATTGAAATACAGTATAAAAAATGGGCGTGACTTTTACAGCGTTTTTGTTTTTATAAATATTGACGTGTCCTTATCATCCACGAAAAAGACTTAGTTCCCACGTCAACAAGGGGAGAGGAGGGAGCGATGATGGAGCGCAAGAAAACAAACGAATTGCCGGCGGTAGGAAAGCGTCCCGATTGGCTGCTACTGGGAGCACGTCAACCGACTGACAACCTATACCGCTTCGATCGCGTTTCGCGCTTTGGCTGGCCTTCGGCGCCTTGGCGATGCTGCCGTGTTGCCATAGAAAAAGACTCTAAACGCGTGGACATTGGCTGGTTTCAAAGAGGCTGCGAGCCGAGGTATGCAAACAAAGAGCGAGCGCCCGAAAGAGAAAGCAGCGACGGCGGCGGCGGCCGGGGAGAGTGGAGGGTAAATAAAAGTTCGGGTGGTGTTCTGCCACCGGAGCCCCCCCCCCCCCCCCTCCCCCTCTCCCCCTGGTTACGCACCTGATAGGGACAGTTGGGAATGGTCGTTGGAACGACCAGTCGGTGGTGGCTGTGGTCGGCTTGTCAAGCTTGAGCAGCGGCCATTTTGGACAGCCGACCGTCTCGGGCGCGTTAAGTCCGTGCTCCGATTAAAAAGCCGAAATATCCGTTAACGTTGGGGAAAAGGTTTGTTCATCCATCTCGTCTGAAAACTTATTTATCTATCCAAAGGTAACGTACCGATAGCAAGCGACAGAAAGGTTGCCAAGATGAGAAGACAGTCGGACGCTGCCATTTTTAGAATGCTTGCCCCAGTGAAGACATATACATCGATTGGAAAGCCGAAATATCAGGTAGTGTTGAGGAAAAGGTTTGTTCATGCATCCCGCCTGAAAAAAAATTGACGTGATATCAGAGGATGGTGTGCCGGTATCGGCGCAGCTCATTGACGGGTTTCGTCTCGCGCTGGAAGACGAAGCCACGGAACATCTGACAAAGTTTTACAGCGTCCTGCGTCGACAAGCGAGTTCAAGAATGTTTTCCTTCAGTTAAATCTGAACAGCATACATCGATCACTCAAGGTAACTTTCCGCAAATGTGCTCAAAAAAAGTCTTCAAACTTTGTACGAGTATTAAAACATTTTTAGAAACTTCCTAACGTCGCCGTCATTTTTTTTTTTATTTACACTCTGGTGCTTCACAGAGGCCTTAATCAATTTATCTTCGATGATAATTTCGGCTTCTGCTACCGGTATCCACGAGATACCGGGTTAGTCATAGCCGTGCGGTCCGAAGTGGCTACGCGGCTTGTCGATAGTTTCGGTGTGTGGAGCTCGTGTGCGCAGTGTTCCATTTTGTTGCTGCGCTCGTAGTAGGAGTAAAGCAGCGCAGCCTTAGCGCGCCCAATACGAGCGCGAAACGCGCCCCGCCACTCGACTCGGTTGTCTGCGTCGCCACCCGCCGTTAACACGGTCAAGTTTTTTGGCCCTAGACTCGATCGGGTGTATCTCCCTCCCGGTCTCCTGCCGCGCCTCATTCGTTGAGCTGTTCTCTCTGTTCCCAGCGCTGCCGGCTGCGTTTCCGATCACCACCCGGTGTCTGTCGATTTTGGACCTCTCGAGCTTTCTACATCTTCGCGGCGACACGTGGCGTTTGGACACCACGCTGTTACGAGACGAGCAGGCCCTTTCCAGCCTGCACCGGTCAATTCGCATGTCGCTGTCGGTTGCTCCGGTGCCTCCCACCCGCTGGGAGGTCAGCAAGTACGACTCCCGGTTTCAAGCGACGACAGCGGGGAAGCTGCTTCGACGCCGCGTTACTGAGGCCTTCAATGAAAAGATTCGCCGCATCCGTATCGTGTAGCGTGGCGGCGCGCGCACACACTTGATGTCGGAGTACTTGGCGCTTCTTCGCGACCGCTACCAGCGCCTGCTTTACTCGACGTTTCGACCCGCCGTCGCACAGCAACTGCAAGGTCAGCCCGTGGATGACCCCGAAGTTCTTCAGTGCCTGCGCGCCTCTCGTACAGGGAGAGATGAGTCCCCGTGCGTCCCGAATATCCGCCTCGCAAGTGGCGGCCTCTTGGCCGACCCCCGCGACATTAGCGCGGTGTTCTACGAGTTCTTCTTGTCCCTTTTTCGTACGGACCCAGCGGTGTCCGCTTTGAACTTTGCCGAGCGAGCTCGCCTATTTTGTGGTGAACTACCGTCTTACCCCGACTTTAAGTGTCCTTCTCTTGTACGCCACATTAATCGTGATGAACTTTTTGGCCTTCGTGCGATGAATGTCGGGTCTGCCCCCGGGCACGACGGTTTCCCTGCAGAATTTTACGTGGCCTTTTAGGACGTCTTCACGGATCCACTAGTCCACCTAGTGAACCATATCCTGGAGAGATGGGCAGGTCCCTCTTTGCTTCCGACACGATCGGGTCGTCCTTCTTCCCAAGGATGGTTCCCCGTGGGACCTCGCGGCTTGGCAGCCTATCACACTCCTTAACATGGACTACAATCCTGTGGCGTCTGTGTTTGTTTCGCGTCTCGGACCGCTCTTGCCCTGCATGATGAGCAGGGCTCAGACGAATTCTGCTCCCGGGAGAAACATCTCCTCCCTCTCTCTTACCCGCGACCTGTTTACGTACGCGCATTTCACCAACTTGTCAGGAGCCTTCGTCTCACTAGACCACGAGAAGGTTTTCGACCGTGTCGAACTCCAGCTCTTGTTCGAGGTCTTGGGCGCCTTCGGCTCTTTGAGAGGTTCGTCGCCCTCTTGCGGTCACTGTACAGCGTCTTGACCAGCCGACTTCTCGTATGGATGACCCCTTGCTCCATTTCCCGTTACTCAGGAAGTTTAGCAGTGCTGCCCTTTATCCCCCTTGCACTATGTTTCGATCCTCTCTTAAGACGTTTGGCGTTCTGCTGGGACATACGAGGCTTCCCGTTGCCCGGTCTAGACAGCGTTACCGTCAGAGCGTACGCTGACGACGTCGGTTTGTTCATTCGGGACTCGGAGAGCCTTGAGGCTGCCATGCGACTCTTTTCCGAGTATGGCGTCCTATCGGGCGCACAGTTAAACCGCTCCACGTGCAACGCACGTCTGTTCCGTGGCGCCTTCCCTCCAAACCTGACGGCGGATATCCAGGTCGTCACCGTGCTCCGCATCCGTGGCGTTTTCCTCTTCGACTGTCGTGGCTTGGCGTCCCGCACCTAAGAAGTTGCACCCACCAACCTCGAACGGCAGGTCTCTGCTGCCGAAGCGTTCACATTGTCTCTTCGAGACCGTGCTTACCTTGTTAAGGCCGCTTTCTGCGGTCCTCTCTTTTTCGCCGCTCACGTCGCCATCCCTCCCCTCCGGTTCATTCACCGCGTCACTTCTTGCTTCTTCCGCTTTTACAATTGGAACGGGGGCTCCCAGCATGTCAGCCGGGTGGTGCTTCGTCTCCCCACGTCCCTTGGTGGCAGAGGCATGCCGTGTGTCGGCACCATGACCCGTTTGTTGGCCCTTCGTACAGCTTTAGGAGTACTGGACTGCGCGTTCCCCCGCCCTCTATTTCCTGGGAACTTCGCGTCGTGAGCCCGTTCCTCGCGCTTTGGGTAACCTCTACCCTAGCGCCGAGTCCACTCCTCCGTTCTACCACGAGGTGGTGAGCCTCCATAACGAACTGCTGCGCGCGTTCCCGAACCTTGTCTTACGGGACGTGGCCCCTACTCGTGTTGTTGAAGAACTTTGCGTTCAGCGTGTCACTCCCGAGGAGCACCGAAGGGCGACCGCCTTCCCGTGACCTTCATTGGTGTCCCGCCGTCTGCCTCCTGTGGACGATTTTGAGTGGCGTCGGGTGTGGGAAATCCTGCCCACGAAGCAACGTCTCCACCGCTGGGGCTTAGTCCCAAACCCCTGTTGCCCAACTGCGGACAAGGAGAGACTGTTTCGCATATCTTCCAAGAACGTCCGGTAGCGCAAACTTTCTGGCGCCTCGTTCACCACGGGTTTCGCCCCTTCGGAGTCCGCCTTCGCTCTCGGTGGCCAGTGCTTACGGGGTGGCCTGGCTTTGCTTCTCCTGGCCTTCGGACACTAGGTCCTCTGGCGGAATCGCTGTACCGCGGTGAGCCAACAGCAGCGCACCCGTGCCATGCGGCCTCTCGTGTCGCAGCTCAGTGGAGGCTTGCTCCGCCACCTCGGCTCTGAACTTTTTTGTTTAGGCGAGCGCGAGTTCCTGCCCAGGTGGTCCTGCTGCTACGTTACGTTAGTCCACGGCCGCATTTCCTTATCGTTTGCTCCCCTCGCCAGGTGTGAGTGGAGTTTAATTTTGACCGTTTTATTAGGGAGTTGTAGTAGATCGTTCTTTTCCTCCGCTACGGTATCCCCGAAGAAAACACCGCAGCCACGCATGCTCACCGCCATCCTTGTCTGCGTAGTTCAAGGTCTTGTGCCGGATTACGGAGTGCTATCCGGGTGCTTAGCGGGCTGCGGAAACGGTCTAGTACAATTCCCTATTTTCCCCTTTCCCCGGTGGAATACCGGTAGTTTTGTTGCACTTTCCTGGCGTCGCGTCGCGTTTTTCTGAGACAGTCTAGTTTGCCCGTCCTTGTGCCAGTTTTCGCCCCGTCATTGTGCCCTTCGCGACCTTGTGCCAAACGTC